GTTTATTTACACGAATTGGTACCAATTACCAAAAAAATCGTGCATTGCATAACATATACGATTGCGTAAGTGGGTGTGTGGGTGGATGGCGTACAACTTAAAAAAATAAACAGCAGTTTATCTCTCAGAAAAATTTGCAACATTTTGGTACTAATTTTCGTGAAAATTGGTCCATAAATGCGCATGCGTGTGGGTGCGTGGGTGGGGGGTGTAACACTTGAAAAAACCGCATCGTCGCATCTCCAAACAATTTGCAACATTTTGATACCATGTGTTCAGAAATATTGCAAAAAAAGAAACATACCCTCCTCTGAGGAAAAAAAAATTAAAAATTAAAAAAAAACCCACAGCAGCCACCCCCCGAAAAATTTGCAACATTTTGGTACCAGTTTCACGAAAATCGGTCCACAAATGCGGAAGTAGTTCGCGTACATACATACAGACAGACGGTGCTTATATATAAAGATAGGAATATATGTATATGTTGACAACTTTTCCGCTCCGCATTGAATGTACCCATGTGCTACCGGCTTTAAAGTGGAATAAATTAATATAGAATTTATTTATTAACATTATTATTTAGATTAATTTATATTAATACTATTATTTAAGTAATACTATTATTTATTATTGAAAAAATCAATATTGTTTTAAAATATTAATTTTTTAAATGTATATTATAATTGTTATCTAAATATATTTATATTTAAATATTTTGGTTTTAGATAACAATTATAATATACATTTAAAAAATTAATATTTTAAACAATATTGATTTTTTCAATAATAAATAATAGTATTAATTAAATAATAGTATTAATATAAATTAATCTAAATAATAGTGTTAATAAATAAATTCTATATTAATTTATTCCACTTTAAAGCCGGTAGCAGTATTTAAATATATAAATTGCTAAGCCGTATTTTCTTCAGTATATTGATCTGATTAATAATGTAATAATAAATATTTTACATAAAGGTTCAAGTTTTAAAAATACTTACGATTAGTAATATTTTGACTTTCCATTGGAGAGCGATCATTATCTGTTAAATATAAGGAAAATTAGTTTTTGAAAATAAAATGAATTCTTACTAGAAAAGTATTTATCTTATACCGTGTCTCTTGCCAGAAAGTGGTAATGTAGGGTATGTGTTGCTATCTTCATCAGATATCGATTCATAAGATTTATCAGTATCTGAGTAATCCTTATGTCCTTTACTTTTGCCTTGTCCCCGCTTATGTATTTTATTATTCTTTTTCGTTAAAATCTCCGTATGTGATGAAAGATCATCTGTACGTTGGGCTTTAATTGCCTTTCTTTTAGCAAGTTTTAAATCACCTAAATAAACATTACTTATTATATATCCAATAACAAAGAATATAACTACCATATTGTTGTACATTATAGAATTGCATATTAAATAAATGTGTGGTACAAAATAACAATGTAATTATTATAAGTTTATGATAATTACAAATAAAAGAAGATATTCCATGATTAATAACAGTGTGTGTGTGTGTGTATATAATTCTTTATACATATATTAATAATAAATTAATAATTTTTTTTATAAAAATGTTATACAATTTTATATAATATAAACAATAACATATTTACCATATGTGCCTAAAATAATTGCTCCGTATTTCATCCAGTTTGAATCAGGACTATATTCATTTTTTATAGCTGCTTTAATAGCTGTAGTATCATAATTTTGTGGTGGCCAATAGCATGCAGATTCTTTTAACAAAAACCATTTTTTCGGTATTGCCTCAACAGTGTCATCCTCTTTGAATCGAACGACAAGCCAAGTCATCTATATACACATATTAATCAATTCTTAAAAATTCCTAAAACTCAAATTCAATTATTAAAAACTTCTCTAGTAGACAATGAAATAAACAAATAGAGATATGTCATTTGAGAAAAACTATGATTTAACAAATAGATCAAGATCACTTAAAGAATAAAATAAATATCATAACTGACTCTTCTTTGAAATCTTTTTCGTTACTTTTATTCTCAACATGCTAATTTTTTATTTTAAAATTTTTATGGGCTACAGATATTCAGATTTAATTACTTGATAACCTGATAGTAATCAATTTCGGATCTCAATCTAAACTGAACTTTTATCTATCAACGAATAAATATATCTCAACGAATAAAATTCAGTGAAAAAAATTAGTTATAAAATTTACACAATTTAACAAGAGGGTTTTTTAAAATATAATTATTGAAAGACTAGAGAAAAGGAATATTTTTTTAAACAAATAAAATACATATGTAATAAAAAATTAATAAAAAATAAAAAATTCAATGCAAAACCGATCAATTAATTATTATATTATAATAAATCTGAATTAAGTATATTTTGAGACTTTATACTAATTAAATAAGAAAAATAACTTATAAAATTAACTTTTCGTTAGCTTGTATGTTATTTTTCTTTTCTAGCTAGTATAAAGTTTCCAAATATTTAAATTAAAAATTATCAAATATTTTATGTTTAACTAACTATTGAAAAATGTGATCGATTATTATTTATTATAAAATTATTTTAGACAATTATAAATGCAGTAGAGGATATGCAATATATTGATCATTATATGGTAAAACTAGTAATTTTCTTTTGATCTTGTCAAATCTCCACATTTGAAATATAGTATTATATTTTATAATAACTTTAATATCAAATAATGAAGAAAAACATGGTTTTGAATAAAAATCTTTGTGAGGAATATACTTGATACCTATTAAAAATATTTCATTTTGATATGATGCAAAATTTAGTATTTCAACGATAGTTGAATCGGTCAATTCGACAAATCGATCAGCTACTTTTAAAATATTTAAGCAATAATTAATCGTTTTAAGTTTCCTGTACTGCGGAGAAGTGCAATTATTTATTAATGGACCATTAAAATGTTCTTGCAATAATGTTATGGAATTATCATTTACAAATTGTATTGGTTGCAAAAAATTATTATCCTCACTAACTCTACACACAACTTGTTGTAGCTGCTGCGAATGTCTACGGATATACTTTTTCAACTTTTGCATATGATTTTCAAATGCAAAAGCACTGAATTCATCAAGTGAACCAAATAAACGTACACAATCACTTAAATGCAATAGACTATGTATGTTGTGTGAAATAAAATCGGGTCCATAAATTTTAATTGAATTCTTAATAAAATATTTTATTAGGTCTTCGGCATATGAAATATAATTTTCAAATTTTGTGTACTGATTACTTATCAATATTGAGCTAGCTAAACTTAGCATAAGAAAATTATTATACTCTTTTAATGGTATTACTTTCTTCAAAACTATTGGGCCTGTATATAACAGAAAAAGTCTAAATTCGGTCGCCTTAAATCTTTTACATTCGTTTATTGGCCGAGTTTTTCTTGCAAATTCACAAGGAATATATTTTTTTAAACCTGAAGATTATTGTTAATTTTATTAATATTTAAAGCACGTAATTTATGAGGAGGCTTGCCAAATATCCATCCATAACGCTTACAACATAACAACCTTTTTGTTGCACCCAATAGAAGATTATGCATATAATCTAAAGGTACATTATCAATCATATTAAAATTGGGAATTTGAAGCCAAAGTGTTTCTCCTGTGTGGTGTTCGATTTGAAGGGTATTTCTAAATGAATGATCTGTTCTTTTTTTTAAATTTTCAGTTTCAACGAAGCATAAAACGTTATTAACCATATCCCCTTCCTGATCACACTTCGTACATGAGAAATAACCTGAATGACTTTTAATAGATAAAATGTGAGATTTGGCCGGGGTATCACAAATTAACATTGAAATTTTGAATTTACATAAAACAGATTGTATCATTATTCCATTTGATAATTTTATACATTCTTCTACAAAATCCTTTAAAAATTCATTGGCTTTAGGTTTTTCATTTCCATAATGTAAAGCTATTATAAATACTTGATTTTTTAGATTTTTAATTGATTTAACTGTACCCAAAATTGGCCAAAAGGAACTTGATGTGCTTTTTGTTAAAGGCAGCCCGTCAATATTAATTGCAAGAAAAAATTCTGTATTTTGATCGACAGTTATATTATGTTTCAAAGATAAAAAATTTAGTGACTTGCGTATACCAAAATAATGATATGAATTATTTAAAGAATTAGATTTGCGGGGTGTTTTCAAAATAGTACGTGGATCAGCTGGCAAGATATTAATTAATGATGGTTCTTCGCGTAGTATATCTAATAACTGTTTAAATGCAGTTAAACTAACATTTCTGTCAATAGACCATTTTCCTAATTTTGTGGAAAGAGATTCCTTAGGCTTAGCAAATAATGGAGGTGAAATATTAGTATCATTACGTTGCTGTAAATCATTAAGAAAAGAATAATCATTCTGTTCCAAATTATTGCTTTGATTATTTAATAAAATGTTATCATCATTTAAAAAATCATTATCATTATTATCATTATTATCATTATTATCATTAAAATCATTATTATCAATAACAATTTCATTATCAACACTATTATATATTTTTTTACAATTCTGATTATAATATTCATCTAAGAATATTTCATTGTTTGCTAATTGATCCGTTTCACTAATTGTTGCTAATGACAGATAAAGTTTTTCATTAACTTTCCGACATAATTTTTCTCTTTGACTTTTTTTATTAGGCATTTTGAATTATATTCAGAGAGACACAAGAAAATTAAATAGATAAAAAGTGCAATAAAGATTTATAGATCCGAATGATTGAATCGAAGTTGAACGTAATATCCAAAAATATAAAATAATTTATAAAGAACCTTTATACTTTATAAGATAGCTGAAACAAACAATATTAGAAAGAAAATTAAAACTTTATATATAGCAAATTGTTTGAATATGTTTAAACTTATACTATTTATAAACTATAAATAACCAATATATGTAGATTTTATTCATCACTTACATGTAATGCAAATGTATATTATAGAACTATATATTTTATATTAACAAATTTGCCCATACAGCTTGCATATTGAAAAGACGTTCAGAAGATATCTTCGGAATATCTTCTAAACGTCTTTTGAATATGCATGTTGTATGAGTAAATTTATTTATATAAAATGCATAATTCTATTGCTTTTAAAAAGTTGTACTAACTTCTCAATTTTTGTACAAATATATATTATTTTCAATTCTGTTTAGGTCCAATTTTTAAGTTATTTTATTTCTTAAATTTATTATTTCTAATTTAGTACCCTAAAGATATCCCGAAGATATCTTCTGAATGTCTTTTGAATAAGCATGCTGAGTGGACATATACTAAATTGAAATTTATTAAATAAAATAACTTCAAAATTGAACCTAAACAAAATTGAAAATAATATTATATTTATATAAAAATTGAAAAGTTAGTATAGCTTTTTAAAAGCAATAGATTTATGCATTTTATATTAACCAAATTTATTCATGCAGCATACATATTTAAAAGACATTCAGAAGATATCCCGAAGATATCTTCTGGATGTCTTTTGAATGAGCGTGCTGTATATATAAGTACTATAAATTAAAATTTAAAAAATAAAATAACTGAAAAATTGGACCGAAACAGGATTGAAAATAATATTATATTTATATAAAAATTGAAAAAATTAAATTTATAAAAAAATTGAAAAGTTAGTACAGCTTTTTAAAAGCAATAGATTTATGCATTTTATATTAACCAATTTACTCATACAGCATACATATTCAAAAGACGTTCAGAAAATATTCCGAAGATATTTTCTGCATGTCTTTCGGATGTGTTGTGCTGCTAGATTATATTAATTAAATTATTGGACTAGCATGTTATATTAGTTTAAGAAATAAACATATGAAGAAAAAGTTTATTGTAACTATGCTTAATTATAAATAAAATAGTAAATAAAATAATATAAGACATATATACGAGACTTACCGCTTTAATATTAATAAAACTATATGTACTGCCTGCTGCTACTCCACGAAATGTTGTTTTCACACAACGCACAATCACTTTAGACAAATTAAAACGTCGCAAGTCGATTTCTAGATTTTTCAAAGCGTGGTGTACTGCATGAAAGATGAACAAGAAATGAGACAGTAATGATGAGAGCCAAGAAGAGCAGTGAAGACAAATGAAAAATGTCTAGCCGCAGTGTCGCACAACTCACGCAGTGCAATCAACTTATCTACCATTAGTGGAGTATGCATTGTAATTGATTTATAATTTTTAAGATGCCAAAATTAAAAGAATATTATTAGCGTTATTAGCGCATAGTTCGCTCCAATACTATACTCAACGTATATTACTTTTTAATATTTGCAAAATATTTAATATTTGCAATATATATATATATATATATATTGGCAACAAGCGCAGAAGCTATTAATTCTATATTTTTTGCAAATATTAAAAAGTAATATACGTTCAGTATAGTATTGGAGCGAACTATGCGCTAATAACGCTAATAATATTCTTTTAATTTTGGCATCTTAAAAATTATAAATCAATTACGATGCATATACTCCACTATAATGGTAGATAAGTATATATATATATATATATATATATATATATATACACATATATCAGCACAAAATATAAATGTTTTCAAAAATATTTCTAAATATTTCTATAAAATATTGCATAAAAGCATTTTAAAATGGTTTTAGGAATATTTTAAAATAATTAAAAAATTTTTTGTGATAACATTTTAAAAAACTTTTAAAAATATTTTTAAAAATGTTCTTTTTATCGTTCAGATAATATTTTCTTAAATATTTGATACATATTTTTGAATATTAGTTTAAAATGTATATTCAAAATATATTTCTGAAAATATTTTTAAACATCAAAAAGCGGACATAAAAACATTTTAAAAATATTTTCAAGAATTATTTTATCTTTTAAAAAATATTTTAAAAAGATTTAAAAAATTTTGTGTATATATGATAAATTTTGTCAAATATATTAAATGCGTATGTATATTAGATGTACAATAGATATTCAATATTCGTATATCCGTTTTTGTATATCCTATGTATAAACGTTTTTGGAGTTCCTAAGAATATCCATTGTGTATGTACATAAGATGTACTATAAATATTTAATATTTGTATATCCGTTTTTGTATATCTTATATGCGTATGTATATTAGATGTTTTTGGAGTTCCTAAAAATATCCATTACGTATGTACATAAGATGTGCTATAGATATTCAATATTCGTATAAACGTTTTTATATATCTTATGTGTACACGTTTTTAGAGTTTTTAAGAATATCCATTGCGTATGTATATAAGATGTACTATAGATATTCAATATTCGTATATCCGTTTTTGTATATCTTATGTGTACACGTTTTTGGAGTTTCTAAGAATATCCATTGCGTATGTATATAAGATGTACTATAGATATTCAATATTCGTATATCCGTTTTTGTATATCTTATGTGTAAATGTTTTTGGAGTGCCTAAGAACATCCATTGCGTATACATATACATAAGATGTACTTTAGATATTTAATATTCGTATATCCATTTTCGTATATCCTATGTATATGCGTTTTTGGATCTTCTACGTATATCCATATGTATGAACATAAGATATATTACGAATGTTCACTATTTGTATATCCGATTTCATATATTCTATGTATATACGTTTCTGGAAGTTTTGCACCTGTAAAATGCGTATGTATATTGCATGTATTATGGATATCCAATATGGGTATATCCTTTTTTTGTACATTCTACATATATAAGTTTTTGAAGCTTCTATATCCATATTTGTATGTACATAAGATGTGCTACAGACATCTCATTCACGAATATACACTTTTGGATATCCTATGTATATATACGAGATTCGAAAGATGTACTTTGAATCTTACGGATGTCCTATGTACATTCAAGGCGACTTATGTGCTGACTGGGATGATGCTTTTATTTAAAAAAAATTATGACATTCATTTTTTCATGAAAACATTTTTTACAAATTTTTCTGTTACATAATAGCCTTGAAACAAATTAATTTGTACAATATAAATTTTTTAATTATCAGAAACGTCTCAAATATCATGCGCACTATTATAATATATATATATATATATATATATATATATATTATAATAGTGCGCATGATATTTGAGACGTTTCTGATAATTAAAAAATTTATATTGTACAAATTAATTTGTTTCAAGGCTATTACGTAACAGAAAAATTTGTAAAAAAATGTTTTCATGAAAAAATGAATGTCATAATTTTTTTTAAATAAAAGCATCATCCCAGTCAGCACATAAGTCGCCTTGAATGTACATAGGACATCCGTAAGATTCAAAGTACATCTTTCGAATCTCGTATATATACAGCATACATAATACTGTTACATACAGCACAAATACACAAAATATTACATACCTATTTATTATGCACATAAATGTATATAACGATTAGATAGACAAAAAAAAGAAATAGAAGAAAAAAGAAATAAATAGAAAGAGAGCGAACGAGTGAGCCTTTTTATAAACGTCGACAAGCAATATATTATTATGTATGTATACATGTATGTGTGTATGTATATATACATATATATATTGCTTTATGATATATATTGTAATGTAAAGAGGCTAGAGAACTCATACTCACTATCTTTCTCTTTTTTTTTCTTCAGCTTTCTGTATCTGTTAATTTATTCATTATATCCATGTATGTGTATAACAAATAGATGTATATATAATTAATGTTTATATGTACTGTTTATAATGTTATATATATATATATATATATTTCTTTTTCTTTTTGTCTATTTAATCGTTATATACATTTATGTGCATAATAAATAGGTATGTAATATTTTGTGTATTTGTGCTGTATGTAACAGCCCAGATAGCACGAATGTCAGAAAGATCTCAATTAGAAATCTTATCAAAGATTGCTTTCCGAGCTCTCAATATGATTTCTAATAGATTTAAATTTGTAGAAGTCTGTTATAAGATTTCTTTAAGATATCTTGTTTGAGAAATTAATTTTACGAGATCAGTAAGAAATCTTTTTCCAGCTAATTTTATGGATTTCTTATTGAAGACAACAGAACGTTATCTTGTATATGATGTATTTTAGATTTGTTCGCGCGCTTGCGCATTATATTAATATGTATAGTGTGTTCCAGTGTATAGTGTATACTCAATGCTTTCACGTGTTCTTTATATGCAGCTACAATTAACGTATCGTTGTCGTGTTGTCGATTGATTTATGATTCAGGTAAGTTTATGATGTAAATATTAATTAAACAATAAATGCTACAAAAAATACAAGATGTAAAATATTAAAGTAATGAATATAAAACCAATTTTTGATAATATAATCGATTCCAAAATTAACATAACCAAAAATGTTTAACATATGATCAAATTGCATTTATTATAAATTAATTTTATAATATCAACAAAGAATATGAGATACAAAATATTCATAATAATATATATAATGTATTTATACACATATAAATTATAGGACTGGATATTTTATCAAGAAGAAGAGAGACTAGTCCATAAACTGTCTCAATAAAACTGATTCATTACTGTACGTGGAAACAGAAACTTTTATTGAAAAGATAAAACTTATCGAGACGTTATCGTGTCTGCAGATAAACATATATACATATACAGGTGAGAATAATTTAATAATTATATTTATTTATTTTTTATAGATTTATATGAATTTTTCTGTAGTAAATTTTTAAGTAAAAATTATTGAAATGCAGCAGTAATAAAACACAAACTAATATAATAACAATAAGTGTTATATAATATCCATGTTATAATTTGCCACTCAATTAGTAATATAAAACTGTTTCAGAGATTATGATCAATTCCGGGCGTAATTGTACAATCTTTGACGTACAAGAAACAATTCAAAAATGGCTACAACATGCAAGTGATCGAGTTCGTTATATAGAAAAAAAACACGCTCAAATATAATTTTAAAATTTTGGCATAAAAATTATATTATTTTTTCTATTTCATAATATTTTATTTTAATATTATTATTTTTTTCATAATAGTATTTTTCTTCTTCACATTTTTATTTCTATTAAAGTTTTATTATATTTACGATCTTAATTTAATATATATTAATCTATAAATATATATTAAAAATGTTTATTTTATTATAGATTAATATTTTTTTTATTTAATCAAATAATTTAAAGTTCAATAATCATTTTTAATTATTATAGTTAATTAAAAATCATAAAAAGCATATTAGCATTTTATATTATAAAAATATATTATATTATATTTTATATATTAATATAAATATAATGTTTAAAAAAGTTTATATTTGTATTTAAGTATTCAAAATACACACACACACACACACATATATATATGTATGTATGTTTATGTATATATAGTAACCCCTAAATGGGCATAATATTATCGTATATTTTTGTTTGTGAAGATTTCTCATATAAATAAGAATTTTCCTTTAAGCTTCAATATTTACTCTCAACATATTTAAAATCCCTGGTAAAATATTTAGCAAATAAACTCTCGGAAGAGAAATATATGTGAATGAAGGATGAATATAATATGAAAGAAAATTAATTGTCTCTTGTCTTTCATCAAAAAACTCCCTTTGGGGATCTTGCTAAATATTTTACCAAAGGCATATTTTTTGTGTCTCGAATGTTTTAGAATAAGTTTTATTGGCATCATCAACATAAACTTCTAAAAAGATCTAATTTAATATATCTTTTTGATTTCTATTACGAGATATCTCAAAAAAGTAATCTTTTTGATTTCTATTACAAGATATCTCAAAAAAGTAATCTTTTTGATTTCTATTACAAGATATCTCAAAAAAGTAATCTTTTTGATTTCTTTTATAAGATATCTCAAAAAAGTAATCTTTTCGGTGACTTCAGAAGAAATCTTTTTTTTTTCTAAATACGACGCATAAGAGCTCTTTCTGATCTCATTATGTTGGCTTTCGAAACCAATTTTTGGATGTCCAAATCTTGAAGAAGAAAACTTTAAGAATTCTTTCTGATATCAATTGGCTATCTGGGATGCTCCCTTTCTACTCAATCTGCGACCAGATAGGGGCAAACGTTTATTTTTGTTTGCACCCATTATACACTATATATTTAATAAATATAAAAATATCACTTTTAAAATATCACAGTATGTCTATCTATCACAATATTCGACACGTTATCACACGTTATAACGGTCGAGTCGCGCACTGCGTGTAAGCACGTATAGTACGTACCGCGTCACAAGTGAACCATCCCGCGCAAATATATGTCATTGCGCGCACACGATTTTGTTTACAAATATGTATATATAGGGTGTCTACATGCTACATTTTTAGCATGTACCCAATTTTTGTTATATTTCGCAAAATTATAATTACACAATTATTTAATATAATTATATATAAAAAATTTTTTCCCGGGTTGTATGTGTCGTAAGAAAATATATGTATAATTGATCGTTTGCATTGAATGTCACTATTTTCTGAAAAGTAAAAAAAGAGAGCTCTCTCTCTCTCTCTCTCTCTCTCTCTTGATCCTTTATGCTTATTGTTAGTATTCTATCAATTAGTAATCAATGCAATCAATCATATCGTTTTACGGCAACAGCCAGTTACTCGTTCACTCACTCATTCATTCTTTTAAAATATGTCCATTTTTATACATAATTATGTAAATTTATATATAAAAAATAAGGGTGCATATATAATCATGTCAAATTTGTATATAAAACATATATATTTATATATATAAAGAAATACTTATTTTTACACTTGTATATATATATATATATATATATATAAATTTATATAATTATATATAACAAGCACTTTTACTTAATTATGTATAGACATATTTCATAATATAATTCTGCGATTATACGTATACTTTTATATATTTCTATATAATGTTATATTATATCAAGAGACACGGTAGTGTCTCGCGACCAGTTAAGGGCGTAGCGGAGACACCGTGTATCTTAACGCGAGTCGGACATTTGAGTCTTTATAATATTTCGAATCCTCAATAATGGCTGAAGCAATCGAGTTTATACTAGACTTAATCGATAGATTGAGTTCGAATTATATAATAAAAGTGTCTTTATTTCTGCTCTACGTGATTTGTAAGCAGAGATATATAAATGCAAAGTCGAAATATGAAAAATTTCTATTAAGAAACGTCCCCGTCATCATTATCATCATTATCATCATTATCATCATCGACCACGCATACATAGTAGTATCGTGCTACACGTATTCACACGTATACAACACATGCGCACACATATATCACACGTACACAACACATGCAAGATGCATGTAGTGGTAATTTTGTCCATCTCGCACGTTTTACAACAGATGGCGATAGTGGCGCTCCGCCATATCGGCAGCGTGCGGGGTTATGTTGGCTAACTCTCTCTCTCTCTCTCTCTCTCTCTCTCTCTCTCTCTCTCTCTCTCTCTCTCTCTCTCTCTTTCTCACACACACACGCACACACACACACACTCTCTCATTCTCACTCACTCACTCACTGTTCGTCTTGTGTACTTATTTAGTACATTCATGATCGGCAGCGTGCGGGGTTATGTTGGCTAACTCTCTCTCTCTCTCTCTCTCTCTCTCTCTCTCTCTCTCTCTCTCTCTCTCTTTCTCACACACACACGCACACACACACACACTCTCTCATTCTCACTCACTCACTCACTGTTCGTCTTGTGTACTTATTTAGTACATTCATGATTAAACATCTATATGCATTAATGTGAAATTTACTTACAATTAGTTTACTTGAAATATTCAATCTCTAAAGTGTTTATCTTATAAGATAGACAAAAAAATCTGAGTAAATAATAAGAAAAAAAAACAAGGATTATTATTGTCATAATTTTTTATCAATTAAGTACTCTCAACTATCCAATAATTAAATAAATACGTACAAATGTGCGCGCGTGTACACACATACACATATTGATATTAAAGAGATTGAAGGAGAGGAAGGAGAAGATAAAAATTTAAATATTCACATATATTTTCAAATATTATATATGAATTTATAGTTTACATATCTAATTAATAATGAATTTCTAATTATATTAAACATATCAAAATAAAGACATACATGTATTTATCAAATGAATAAAATTATTGAATACAGACTTAAAAAATTTATTAAACATAGACTTAAAAAATTAATTAATTAAACATATTCCAAATTTAGAAAAAATAAACTTTATTTATATATGCAACAGCTTTTTAAACTAAATTTTTAAATTCTATTTTATATTAGACAATTATCTCAATCAACATCTACGTCCACATTAGCTGCACTGCAGACTACCTCTACAGCCACATTATCTGCTCCGCGGATATAGCGTTATGCCAATACGATACATTACATGTACTTACTTACTTGCCTTTACTGTACCAACTCTTGTTCTTTCCACGTAATCATGTTTTTACAGTTATCGTTTGCTGTATATCTTCCAGCAAACTTTATTTCGTGTGAAGTGTATTTAATTAATTAAATCTCTGCGAAAGATTGAGAAGATGAAGGGATAATTCAAACTATGAAGACATGGTTACATGGAAAAGACAAGAGTTGATACAATAATAAAGACATACATGTATTTGTATCCTGCTGGCATAAGGTTATAGAAGTTGATTGAGATTGAAAAATAATAATGAAAATAATAAAAAAAATAAAGACACATGTATTTGTATCGTGCTGGCATAAAGTTATAAAAGTTGATTGAGATTGAAAAATAATAATAAAAATAATTAAAAAAAGGAAATATTCAATCATCATTTAAAAGCATATTTGAAATCTGTAGAATAAACAGTTTTTGCAAAAAATGTGGAGCATTTGAGCTCTAGTAAGTCTAAAAATAAATGTAAACATCAATTAATAATAACTGATGTTATATATATATTATATATATAAACCAATTTGTTGCAATATTCACTATAAAAGGTTGTAAGGGTAAGATGGCTAAAAGTGAATAATTTAAAAGATAGTTAACATAATTTTACATAAACTGAAATATTTCATAAAATAAAATATTTGTAATATTTCGAAGTTTATGTAAGATTATGTAAAAATTATACCTTTACAACTTTTTATAGTAAATATTGCGAGGAATCGATTTATATGAGAAAAATTAAGGTAATTCTATTTTGAAAATATAAGTGACCTTTAAATAACCTTGAAAATCGCCGTTTAGGAAAAAGTCTGTGTCAACTTTTTCTTTTTCGAAATCCTGCAACTTTTATCTAAATTTAATAGAAAATGTATAAAAAATGCTCGACATTAGTACACACACACACACACACACACACATATGGGTAAATTTATATAAATAGGGTGCTTTAGGAGGAATGATCAGGATTCTAGGATATGATTGTACACATCATTTTAAGCAAAGAAGTTTAGATAAACATGTTTAATAATTGTTCTATTCCGGTCATAAAAATATACAAAAATGAATGATATAATCTCTAAAAACTCACCTTTAAAAAAAGGTAAAAAAAGGCGACCAGTTAAGGGCACGCCATTAACAAAAATTATCCATTGCAAACCCATGTAGAATCCTATCCTATTGCAAACCCATGTAGAATCCTATGAAAAATTAATCATTGCAAACCCATGTAGAATCCTAGGCAAAATTAACCATTGCAAACCCATGTAGAATCGTACCCATTGCAAACCTATGTAGAATCCTATGAAAAATTAACCATTGCAAACTCATGTAGAATCCTATGAAAAATTAACCATTGCAAACCCATGTAGAATTGTATTAAAAATTATCCATTGCAAACTTATGTAGAATCCTACATTGCAAACCCATGTACAATAGAATTGTATGAAAAATTATCGATTATAAACCCATGTACAATCGTAACAAAAGTAATGAAATAAAAAAAAATTGCGCCAAGTGAAAGTAGAAACTTGT